AGTCAAAGAATAGAGTTTTTTATAAGTGAGAGCTTAAAGAGAGAACTTTGATCAAGGTAGAGAAAGGGTGAAGTTGAGAAAGAGGGAGAGAATCCTTGTGGGTTCAAGGGAGTGTAAGAGAGAGTTTTACACTATTAGTTCGACCAACTTGCATCTGAGTTCCTACATATATTAAGGTTCATTTGAGGGAAGCTCCAGGAAGACCCTTTTGGTGTCAAAGGGCCACTGAATATTCCTCCACACTAAACATTTGAAAGTGATTTATGTTACTCTACCTCACTAAGAGGGTGAAAGTGATTTGGGTTACTCCGCCTCACCAAGAGGGTGAAAGTGATTTGGGCTACTTCACCTCATCGAGATGGTGAAAGTAAATCAAGCTAATCCACCTCACTAGGAGGGTGAAAGTGATTTGGGCTACTTCACATCATTGGGAGGGTAATTCGAGCTACTCTGCCTCACCAGGAGGATGAAAGTGACTCTGGTTCTCATCACATCGAGGATGTGGAAGTGATTTTATAAGAGTTTCTTTGCCTAGTCATGGGGACTGAAGGATATTCACTAAAAGTTTAGTGTAATACCCAAAGAGGAGGACTTCAGGGAGTGGACATAGGTCAAGTTGATCAAAATACTGTAAAAAATTGGTTTGCATTTTCTTTTCATTTTCATATTTATTTTTTATGCTTTACTTTCTTGCATATTTACTTTGTGAGAATTGGTTTGAGTTTGGTGATTATTGTAACATGTGATTGATTAAGTTTAGTTTATGTTTGAAAAAGAAATAAAATTTTAGCATTTATTTTATTATTTTCTTTCACTTTATAAATTAATTGGTTGTTGTTTAATTAAAAAGAAGGTTTTTAAAAAAGATTTTAAAAACACCAATTCACCTCCTTGTTGGTGTGCCATTCTATAGTTCAATTAGTTTCACAACCATCTATAGAACTTTCAACTTAGCTCCAAATAAAAAGGTTTGCTGAAGAATTTGAGACTATAAGAGCAATGGATGAGGAACAAGAGTTGTTGGGACTAAATGGTTGATAGATCCTCCTAGTTCTCCTCACTAACAACCTTTAAATGTTTATTGGGGAATGTAGAAAAGTGTCATGGAGAGCAAAATGAAACAAAAACTAGACTACAGTAACTTTGGAGTGTGAATAATCTCTATTTGAAAGTTTACCCTATTTTTCCCTAATCCAAGCACTAGGGCTAATCCAAGGGTTGGGATTATTCAGGCTTTATGCTTGGTTTGCCAAGTGGCTTAAATGGTTAGGGAGTAGGGACTGGGTTTTGTAGTGGCTATGCAAGAGTATTACTTAGGTTAGTCTTGGATTAATTCAGGACATGGATTGGCTTCACGGGTGTTTAAGAAGCTTCTAGGGACTCATTCCAGAAAGCAAATTGGTTGATGCAGGAAGAAATTGAGTGTTTAAGAAGTTTTGACTATATAATTATCTTTAACTACTGCAAGCTGAGAGCATATTTAAATGAATCATCTCTCAATCCTTGGGTTAGTGCAGACTAGATATTTCACTTATAATATCTATCTCTAGAATCTCACTATAATGCTCCTAAGTGACTCCCCCGATTCCCACATTTTCTTTAACAGAGATTATGAGTTATAGTAGGTTTTTTGAATGCCGACAAACTTAGTTATAAACATTCTTTTTAAATTAAAAAAAGATCAGCAATAAGTGAGTGAAACACATAAGCGTCAACTCCTTAAGTGTCATAAAGAGGCGATCCTTAAGGGCATTGTTAATGTTCATAAAAAAGTCATCAACTCGAAGGTAGCTATATAGTTGGTTGGATTAGTCTTACCCTGATAGGGTTCTAATTATATTTTAAACTTGGGAGGTGGCTTGGCCTTAGCGATCACCTTATAGAAGGCATTTGTAAGTTTAGGTTCTTCCCTTCCTACTCACCTGGTCAATGGATAACTGTATTCGTCACTTATCAATGTGCAAGTGAAATTAGTAATTAGTGTTGAGGTTAATGATGTATCTTGTTGATATCTACGATGGACTACTAAGTTAAATGACCCATTAGGAATGACATCCTTTCACATTCGCCCTTGGAGGCTACCAAGGGTATCTTGAATCCTCTTTATAATCCTTTCCTCCATTTCCTACTATTCTTGGCAAGTGGTGCAGTAGGTGTTCTCTATGCTCTTGAAAGACTCCAATTAAGCTCACTCATCTTTTCAGGATTCTCTTATTATCGATGACATCAATACCTGCTCTCTGTTCCTTTTATGATGTATGATCCAATTTTTTTGTGTGTGGATGGAATTCAACTTTACTAGTAAGCAGATCCGATGAGCGAGGATTGCATGCATGGAGAGTGGAGATAATAGACAAGAATATTTAGAATTCTTAATAAACATTGAGTCTCAAAACACCATTATATCCGTAAAAACAAATCCTACATAAGGTTTAAAGCAATTCCTCATTTCCCCTTATTTATAGTGTTATGAGAGCTACAAGAAATAAAATACAAAGAAAAAGTAAAGAATACAACCCTACACAGATCACTCATACAATGTTCCACACTACTTTAGACATGTGTCACCTCATGATTAGCTGTCGGAGAGTGGGGGTAGTAAAGTTTTGATGATCTATATTTGGGTGAGCTTAAAAGTGTTGAGTATGCACTGGGCGAGCTCCAAATTGTGGGAGAGCTTGGTAGTGTCAAGTATACATTATGTGAGCTTTTTAATGTGGGTGAGATTAGTAGTGTCGAGTATGAGTGAGCGAGTTTGCGAGCGAATTTTGTGGAGGAGGTGCTTCAATGCTTTAGAAGTTGTTGGCAGCCTGTAATGAGCCTCATATTGCCTGGGTGAGAAGGCAAGTGATGCTTGATTTTTGATAAGACGGGCTCAGTGATTAGTTGATCAAGGTAGGTCTTCTTGAGTTAGCACTTTTCTATACTAGAGTTTGGATGAGAGGGTGGTCGATCTAGAGAGAGAGAGAGAGAGAGAGAGAGAGAGAGAGAGAGAGAGACTAAGTGACTAATATGGAGTTTATGCATGTGACGGGTGTTGAATTGTTAACTTGGCATGGAGGTCATGGTCTACCTTGTAAAGGGAGAGCTTATTAAGAAGCCCACTTGACTAGTGCCTCCTAGTCCTTTGGTCAAGTCCTCCTATGAGCCCCAGGTGTGTAGAGTCACCTATATAATCAGGTGAGTCCATTCAGTGGGCTCCCCATAGGGTGTGTTCCTACAATGTCTTTTTGGGTTACTAACCAAATAACTGTGAAGACATTTGTGAGTATACATGAACAAAATTTGATTTGAACTAGTTCAATTGAAACATTTGTTCGGATACAACACAAACCTAGTTTGGACCTTGAGAAGTATCTTCTCCATTATAAAATAACCTTGTGGATGCCTTCTAGAAGCTACCATTATGAAATTCCTTCTCCTTTAGACTTACTGCTCATGTTAATGGCCTAAACAAGTTCTTATTGCGAAATAGTCGCTCTTGCAAATACATCAACGAGCTCCCATCACAAAATACCTTTCTCCTTCATGCTTGTTACTCTCGTTGACATCCTCAATAACTCCTATTGTGAAATATCTGATGCCATCAATTTTGTAGTAAGCTCTTGTTGCGGAATACTCTTCTTTCACACTCGACACTCTTATTCATGCCATCAATGAGCTACAACCATGAACTCCTTTCAAACTAATTCAAATATGCTCAAATCTATTTCAAATCTTATTGTTTTTACGAGTCCATATAAATATAAAATATTATTTTCTATTAAAGATAATTTGCTTATAAATATATTTCATAAGAAAAAAAGAAGTGTTGGTCTATATTTATCTTTAAATGGCTCCTAACCTAATTCTTGAAACCCTGCTGAAGTAAGGAGAAGGGAAGGTATGTCGAGGAAGGCATTGTCGGAACCAGTAGCATAATGAGAAGTGGAGTTCACGTTGGAAACTCATTGGCAACACTGGTGGTGTGTCATGACAGAAGCTCTTTGGGGGAGGAATCCACGGTACCAGTGGGGTTTGAGGGAGGTGTTTAGGATGGGAGCTCATTGTGGGAAGACATCAATGTCATTGATATCATTTGAAGGAGAATAGGAGTTTGTGACTGGAGCATAATGAGGGGAGAGAAATCACAGATTTAGTTAATCCAACAAAACGAGTGAGAAATGGGATTTACAATTCCGCAGGATTGTAAGTTCTTCATTTTTACTACTTTTCATTATTTAGAAGTAGTTTGGCAACAAGTTTGATTTAACTCTAGTAGGATTTAGTAAATTTTATAAATTTGAATTTATTAAATCTTACTGGTCATATCCTGAAAACTATTTGGCAAGACAAATATTAAATTATGTGGAACCTTTTCACAATGTAATCATGATTTAAGGTAGTTAGTTCATTAAAAAAATCAAATTTAAATTATGTTTTTATTTTAATTTGTATTTTAAATACAAGTTATATATTAATTCAAATTAGAATTACTGTCAATAAATTACAATTACAAAAAAATATAATTAGAAAATAATTTAATTATGAAATAATTTATTAATTTTTATTTTGATTATATTATTAATTATTAATTATTAATACTAACTAATCATTATAAATAATATAATTAGAATTTAAATTAATTATGAATTATTTTAAATATTTATTTATTAATTTATTATTTGCATTAATTTTTAGGGAAATTTACATACATACCACTTTATAACATCTTATTTACATATCTAACACCTAAAACTTTAATATTACATGCATACCACTCTATATTATTTCAATATCAAATATACCACTTATATTTCTTTCCTACCACTCATATATTTCATTTCTACCACTCATATTTGGTATGAAAATGAACTATGGATGGTATGTATGTAATATTAAAGTTTTAGGTGTTAAATATGTAAATAGAATAGTATTAAGTGGTATGCATGTAAATCTCCCTTTTTAATAAAATTTAATTAAATTAATTTATTCCTATAACCGCATGTTTGCTAGGTTTGCTTTTAGCCTTTCGTTGTTCTTCGACTTCTCCTCGACACGCCTTCCTGTCTGATCTGAAATCAAACCTCCTCGCCGTTCGTCTGTTCGATCGGAAGTAAGGACGACGACGGGAGCTTGCTCGTTGCGAAGGTAGCCATGTTTCTTTCGTTCGCGCGCTTCTTCGGCCAAATCCCGTAAATACGCCGAACTCCGGCTAAAAGATCGAAACGGAGTATTTAACTCGCTGTGAGATTTGACGGTTCCCTATATCCTGTTTGGCAGGATTTAGCTGCATAAATCCTGTATCCAAACAGCCCCTTAAATTAAATCTTGCCTAAATCCTGCTTAAGGCCTGCCACCAAACAGTCCCCAAACAATGGAAGCAGAAGCGGTGACTATCTCGAGGAAACGGAAGCCTAAGCATGTAAAATCCAACAAAAACCGCAAGAAGATGAAGTCATACGGTGGCGCTTCGCTGAAGCCGAAAAAACCTAGCTTGAAGATGATCAAGCTTTTCCAAAGGAGGGCCAAAGCATATAATTCTGATGAAGACGAAACGGGAGAAGATGATTTGGGTTTGAAACAAGAAGATTCCAGCGAAGAGGAAGATCCAAGGGGATTGGATGATTCGAAGGGAGATGGTGGATCCGAGACCGAAGAGGACGGTGAAGGTTCTGGGCATCGACAGGGGATTACGAAGTTTACCGAAGGCTGTCGTGCTTTTAAAGTGGCTTTCATGAACATTATGAAGAAGAATCTCACGAACGATCCATTGGTTTGTAGTTTCTTTTGAGGTTGATTTGCTCACAGCAAGATAAGTTTCCTCACTTCTAATTTTTCTTCAGGGACCAGTTTTATCTGCGCATAAGAAGCTGCTTACTGAGAAGCTAGCAGAAGAGGAAGCTGAGCAAAAGGCAAAGGGTGAGGTTAAAAAGGAGAAACACATGGTTTGTACTCAATGTTTGCTTTGACAACCTCTATTTGCTTCTACTTTCGGCTATTTACTAAGAAAATACGATTGTTTTAATTGATAATCTGCCAATAGATTGCAGAAAAGGGACACATAAAACCGTTAGGAGTCCTTGATGCAAAGGAGAAACTTCTAATTAGTGTCGCTACAAAAGGAGGTAAGTATATATTGATTTTGCATGTAAAATTCATTATAATATCACATACTCCTTATTTTGCCATTGCAAGCATTTTACAAATGAAACCTGACTTGAGCAACATAACAACCAGAGTTAAGGACACAATAAATGATAACAAAAACAAATTTGTGTAGGTTACATGTTTAATGAAACTTGAGATGAAAGAATTTAAAATTTCAATTGTTGGTGTTGAAGTACTTATACAAAGGTGTGATCTATTGCATAATTTTCTTACCACAAGTGTTTGGGAAGAAGTTGGCATACACAATTCTTACCTCTACATAGCTGAGAGGTTTTCAAGTTTTGAAATGTACTTTTGATTGTGAATTGGGATGCAAAATGCTTATGGAATTGGTTAAATTACAGTCAAGGAGAATTACTTTTTTTATGGAGGATTGAAGAGATTATGTTGTTTCTCCTAGTCAATTCGAGAGAAGGGAAGCCAATAGGTAGCCTTTGATAACATGCCATAAGATTTGTAGGGTTGTTTGAAATTTTTTCCGGTGGAAAGAGGGAATCCTATATGGTGGGATAAATGCTTGATGATGTTGTTGTTGTTGTTGGAGAGAGGGAGAGGCTCGAGTAGTCCTCTTGATTGAGAATTAGGGAGAGAGAGATTAAGGAGGAAAGTAATTCTATTTCTATTGATTCAATTATTAGATTTTGTTCTAGTTTATAAATTTACAATTTGCTAATACTTTATTTAAGAAAAGAGAGGAGCATCTCATTACTTATAAGAATGTATATAATAAAACTCATATTAATTATTTTCTTATAAGAAAAAAAAAAATAGATCATTTAGATTTTAAAGATTGTAAAGTTATTTTGAGTGAAAATTTATGTACCCAACATCGTTTATTAGTTTTAAACTTTAAAATGATGAGGTAGAATATGAAAAATTAAGTAAAATCTTATCATAAGATTAGATGGGGGCATTTAATAAATACTAACAAAAAATTTTTTTGAGAGTAAGATTTAAGATCAGAAGATTTTAACTGTACTTGAGGAAGTTAATGTTATGTAGATAAATGTAACAATGAAATTGGAAAAATAAGAAATTAGTTCAGGTGAAGTGTATTAAAGATGAAGATAAAAAGTGCGTTTTTTTAAAAGAGAATGTTCAACAGAGGTGGATGAGATATTGTGATAAGCATTTCATTGAAAATTATGAGAATATGATTGACTTTATTGACCTTAATACCCACAATGAAAATAAAGATTTTTATTTTTATCATCATATTAGTAACATCGAAGTAGAGAGGTTTTAAAGAAAATGAAGTGTGGAAAAGCTGTTGGACCTGATGATATTCCAATAGACGTGTGAAAATGTTTAGGAGATAAAGGAATTTCATAGCTTACAATTTTTTAAATATTATTTTAAAGGATAAAAAGATGTCAGATGAGTGGTGGAGTATGTTGAAACCTAATTTTAAGAATAAAGGTGATGTAGAAAAGTGTGCGAATTATAGAGGAATTAAGTTAATGTTTCGTTCATTAAATTTATGGGAGAGAGTTATTGTGCATAGGTTACGACGTGATACTTATGTTTCTCAAAATCAAATTGGATTCATGTCGGGTAGGTTTACTATGGAAGCTATACATTTATTGAAAGGTTTGATGGAGAAGTATAGAGAGAATAAGGAGGATCTATATATGATATTTATTGATATAGAGAAAACATATGATAAAGCTCCAAGGGAGTGCTTTGGAGAGTTCTAGAAAAGGAAAAGAGTTAATAATACTTATATTCATATCATTAAGGATATGTATAAAGGAGCTATTACTTGTGTTCAAACACAAGGTGGTTTGATCAAGTATTTTCCTATTTTACTTGGATTACATGTAGGATTAGCTTTAAGCCTATATCTTTTTGTTTTTGTCATGGATGCTCTTACCATACATTTGCAAGAGGATGTGCCTTGGTATATGCTTTTTGTTGATGATATTCTTCTTGTTGTAATACTAGAGAAGGTGTTGAAGGAAAACCTAAATTATAGAGGTATAATTTTAATAGTAATAGATCTAGTGGGGGGATTGCGACTTTGGGCAAAGTCATTAATAAGATTACATGTTTTAGATATCTCGGGTCTATTGTTCAAAGTGATGTTGAAATAGATGGGCATATTAGTAGAATTCAAGTTGGGTGGTTGAAGTGGAGGAATGTATCAAGCCTATTGTGTGACATAAAAGTACCCTTCAAACTTAAGGAAAATTCTATAAAATAGTCTATAATGGTTTGTGGCTTAAAATGTTGGTCAATAAAAGAAAAACATAAAAATAAGTTGAGTGTTGCAGAGATGAGGTTGCTTAGGTGGATGAGTGCTTCACTCTTAGAGACATAATGCGAAACAAGTATATATGTGAAAAGGTTGGATTAGCTCTAGTGGAAGATAAGATTAGAGAGAGTCGTCTTAGATGGTTTGGATGCATAAAGCATCGTCCTTCCAATGAACCGATTAGGAGAGTAATGCATAGATTTGACCTATGTTAAGAAAGGTATAGGTAGACCTTAAACGATATTATTAGAAAATATTAGAAATGACCTGTTTTTAGCCAATTGGAGATGTCAGAAATAGCAGATGTCTTAAAACTTTGTTAACCCTCAAATGCACTGATTTGTGACCAGTCTAATATATGGAGTTTTGTATCCAAAGGGCTTTAGATTTTCCCCTCATTTTACAAAAAATCATAATGAAAACTTATGACTTGGAACTAGTCCTCTCATACCAACGGATTTGGAAATGGGGTGTGAAAAGCAGATGGAAATTCAGCAAATTGTGGAGTCGAGGAAATGAAGTTTTATATGGAGAAATTGAGAGAATTGTGTTGATTCTCTTAACCAATTCTAGAGAAAGAGATGCAAGGCTATAAGCAAACTTGGATGACATTCACTAAGGCTTGAACTATGTGTTAGAATACATGGACATATTTGATGCAAAAAAAAAAAAAAAAAAAGAAGAAGCCTACTAGGTATGCAAATAATCGCTTACTTTCCAAATAACTTAAACAAACATAACAATAATAAAAAACATGACAAAACAAACTTAAACAAGACACAACGACACCTTAAAAATTTATGTAGTTTGAGAAGAAAGATCCAATGGGGTGTAAACCATGGATAAAAGAAATAGATAGAAATTCAAGACGAATTATAAGAGAGAAGAAGAAGATAATAGCTCTCAAGCTATTACAAAACCCTCAGGTTTTCTTTCCAAAAATCATCAAATCACACTCATTTCCCATATCAACGGTTTGAATGGATAGAAAAAATGGACCATTTTCTTGAATGGAAAGAAATCCCAAAAAAAAGAAAAGTTAGGTTTGCTAGTTTAAAACTAACGGGTCATGCCTTAACATGGTGGAAAAAACTTCAAAACAATAGGGTAATAAGTGGAAAAGAAAAGATTCAAACATGGGAAAGAATGAAAAAAAAAAAATGCGGGGAAAATTCTTGCCTTCTGACCATTCCCGAACTCTGTTTCAAGAATTTAATAATCTTCGCCAAGGTAATCAATCCGTATAAGAATACACTGAAAATTTCTATAAACTTTAATAAAGAAATGATTTGGATGAATATGAAGAATGAACCATAACTCGATACATCAATGGATTAAAATGGGCTATTCAAGATCAATTGAACTTACATCATGTTATTAAACTCGATGAAACTTATCGAATGTCGCTTAAGATTGAAAAACAACATCAAAGAGGCTCTAATAAGACAATTGAATCAACTAAGCTTCGACAATCTAGTGGGATCAAAATTAAGTTGTCACAAACCTTTTTTGGTGCATCTTCTTGAAATCCTAATTTGCGAACAAAACCTAATGAAACTCAAACCGTTGATAAGGGAAATGAGTGTGATTTGATGATTTTTGGAAAGAAAACCTGATGGTTTTGTAATAGCTTGAGAGCTATTGTCTTCTTCTTCTCCTCTTATGATTTGTCTTGAACTTCTATCTATTTCTTATTTCTATGATTTACACCCCATTGTATCTTTATTCTCAAACTACAAAAATTTATAAGATGTCATTGTGTATTGTTTAAGTTTGTTTTGTCATTTATTATTATTATTATTATTATTATTATTATGTTTGTTATTATTATTATTATTATTATTATTATTATTATTATTATTATTATTATTATTATTATTATTATTATGTTTGTTAATTTTTTAGTTGTTTCATCTCTAATGTTTTTTATTTTCATTTGAAATGATATTATGTCTTGGTTTCTGATTTTTGGATTTTTATAGTCAACGTCTAAACATCCCTAAATCAGTTAAACGGAAAACACGGTTGATTGTTTCCCTCCCTCTAACCTCTTTTAGTGGTGTAATTTATTTTCTAAACAAAAGTCTATCTTAAATTAACAATTGGACTTTGCAATTAAGATCTTTTCTATCTTGCTACAATAATATATCTTATGAATATAATATTCAAAAGTCTTTATATTACTTTCAAGTTCTTTGAAATCTTGTCGTTGCATTTATCATATGAATTTGATTTTATTTTGT